CCAATGGGATATCAGTTCGATACCAAGTGTACACCAATTGGGTACAAATTAACTAGTTTTAGGTTGACTAATTTAGTTGAAATCTCAATTACATGTTTTATTTAATTTTTCCAATGGAATATCAGTTCGATACCAAGTGTACACCAATTGGGTACAAATTAACTAGTTTTAGGTTAACTAATTTAGTTGAAATCTCAATTACATGTTTTATTCAATTTTTCCAATTGGACATCAATTAGATATCAAATGTATACCAATTGGGTATAAAATTAACTAGTTTTAGGTTGTCTAATTCGGTTGAAATCTCAATTACATGCCCTTTTTTCAAATTTTTCAATGGGATATCAATTCGATACCAAATGTATACAAATTAGATGCAACATTAACTAGTTTTAGGTTGGCTATTTCAGTTGAAATCTCAATTACAAGTTTTTTTTTCAATTTTATCGCTGGGACATCAGTTGGATACCAAATGTATACCAATTTCATACTAAGATTTGAATTTTCAATTGATATCAATTGCATACCATCATTATCTAGGTTTTTACTATACATTTGAAAAACACTTAATACACAAATGATTAACTAGTACACATAATAAATGTTCTGAAATTATAATTCATTAACTTAAAAGACAAAGTAAATCAAAACATGAGTTTGTCACATTAAAACAACCAAAATAAAATAAAAATAAATATGTCTTTTTTTTTTTCAGAAGGTAATTTGAACATGTCTTCTTGTTTTGTCCCTCCCGACGACATGTAATGCACGTAACCTTAGACCTCTTGCATTTCACATCAGCAAATCCTTTCCAACGTTCATGTTGTGGTCTCCCTACAATTCTCTTTGAACCAGACGACAATAATTTATGCTCCTACACTTTCTGAATTGCATATTTTCCTGTTCCATCATAAATTATTGTGTTAGTATTACAGGATACAAAAGTACAAAATTTTTTACAAAACTATATATAATATGATAATATGCACTGAAACAATATTTTTTTGTATCAATTTATGCTCCGACACTTTTTGAATTACATATTTTCCTGTTCCATCATAAATTGATTATAATAACAACAAAATTATTATACACACTCGTCATTATTTTTTTCATACAAATATCATTTAGACAGTACACTACAAAACAAATTTCATACAAAAAATAATATTTCACATTTCATACTCTCTTAATACACATTTCATACAACAATCATCATTCATACCAATTTTATACATTTCTCATACCAAATAATTCATTACTCTCACACAAATTTATACACAAATGACAAAACATATATAATCAATAAAATTTCAAATTTCATACCAAATTAAAACACTTTTCATACATTTCTTCAAAAATCTAAATAACTTTTTTACACATTAGTGAACACACTTTCATACCAATTTCATTACATTTATACTACCAAATTCATTCAACATTTTACATTTAATTTATATTTTCAAAAAAAAGAAAACAATAATCAATATTACAATTTTACTATACCTACTTAATCTACAACGATAAAACTATTTATATTTTATACATTTATACTCAAACTTTTCATATATTGCGCCTATTTCTCATGAAATCATGATTTTGACAGTATACAAATTAATCAAACAACAAAAAAAAAAAAAAAACTTACCAAAACGTATTATGAACAAAATTAACAAAAACGTATTATGAACAAAAATTAACAAAAACGAATTTTGACCAATCACTAAACAATAATAAATACTAACCTGAAGGATCCCATCTTCCAATCTTTCACCATATTTAATTAATATTGATACGTAGTTGTCCATCACAACAAAACCAAGATTTTTCAAAGAAAAAAAAACTTCAATTCCTTAACAGTGAGAAGACTTTTGGCAGAAAATTGAAGAGAGAGAAACGTTGAACAAAAAAAAAAAGGATAAAATCAGAATTTTAATTAAGTTTAACTAATTTGGGTGAATTAAGGAAACTAAATATTCTTAATAAGTTTGAATTCCTTAATTCGTGCTAATTTGTAATTATCTACACTCAATTCAAATTAAATTAACACTCCTATTTCTGTTTTTTACCTTTTTGCCTTCAAAAATGTTTTTTTTTTAAACTTTTTTTTTTAAAGACAAATGTTTTCAATTATTAAAAAAAACTTTTTTTTTTTAATAAATTGTTAGAACCTGAAATTTTTAATGTTACAACTTGAAAGTTTAAATCTATTGCTATAACCTGAAAATATTAATATAATATATGTCATATATGAAATTTACACATTTTTTTTAAAACAAAAGGAAAAATCGCTCCTGATGGAGAGATTTTCTTCTGACAAAATTGACGTTGTTACTCCTTTAAAAAACATAAAAATCGTTGTTGGGGCAGTGATTTCGTCCAAAAAAAATTTTCTTTTTTCTTTAAAATCGTTGTTGTGGCAGCGATTTTGTGATTTTTTTTCTTTTAACAACGCCTGCCCCAACAACGTTTTTCTCAAAAAATAAAAAATAGAAATAGCTGCTATAGCAGCCATTTCTTAAAAAAGTTTTAATTTTTTTTTATTAAAAATTCCCGAGGCTAGGACTGCTTAAAAAAATAATGGGAAATTACTCCACGTGTAGCGATTTTAGTTTAAAAACATTATTATTTTTTTAATAATCGCTGCCAAGGCAGCGATTTCAGTAAGAATTTTTATTATTATTTTCAAATTACTGCTAGCAATCAAAAAGTATACAATAAAAAAATTATAAAGTAACTCAATTGGGAAATTTTTTCTTCTGAATTCGCTGCCTTGGAAGCGATTATTAAAAAAAAACATTTATAACTAAAATCGCTACACGTGGAGTGATTTCCATTTTTAAAAAATAATTTCTGACAGAAAATTGATGCTGCCATAGCAGCGATTTAATTTTTTTGAAAAACAAAATCGTTGTTGGGGCAGCGATTTTTATGTTTTTCAAAAGATTAACGGCGTCAATTTTGTCAGAAGAAAATCGCTCTGTCAAAAGCAATTTTTCCCTTTTGTTTTTTTTAAAAAATTGATGTGCCCTTTTGTAATTTTTGACAATTTTTTTGCCCTTTTAACTTCGGACTCTTAATTAGCACCCCTTAAGCGCAAATCCGATCCATTCGTTATTTTCAACATCTTCCGCTCACACGTGAGAAAGTGCTCAAGCTCCATTAAGTTAAGGAAAACATGTTCTCCATTAAATTTTCTTGCATCAATTCATACATTACCAACAAAATCTTTTAGTGTTTACCAACCAATTTTTTATTGGTAATTTTACCAACGATTTTAAATTGATTGGCAAAAATTTACCTCCATTTACCTACCAATTTGACCAACGAATATTCTCGTTGGTAATTAGGTCTTTTCAATACTAGAAAATATGAATTTAGCTACGATATTTGTCGACAATTCCTAGCTAATCCATTGTTAAATAGGATTAGCATAAGACTTTTGTTGTTTAGCTATGAAATTTTGTCTGTAGCTAATTTCTTATTTTCTATTAGTGATATAGTGTCTTTAATCAACGTTCTTGAACTCAAACCTTATTGTAAATAAAGAAATTTAGCTAAGAATTTGAATTAGTCGAGTCATAAGTCTCGAAACAAAATTATAAAAAACACAAAAGATCAAAGAGAGAGAGAAATGAAAGATGAAGAACAAGAGCCACAAAATAGATATATGAAGCAAAAACCAGAACCTCTATTCAATAAAAAGCTTGGATGTTGAAACTTGGGACCAAAATTCATTAGTGAAAGCCATATTTTTTGGCCATCATAAAATATTGTTTGTCAAATACAACCAAACAAAAATCAAATACAATGTTCCAACACCTACTTGGAAAAACAATCCAATGGGCTATATTAATTTTAGGAAGAAGAAAAAAGACATAGAATGAGAAGGGACCGCTTTGTCATAAGAAGGGGCAGCATACCCAATGGGTTTTGTCCTCCTTCAAGTACAAATACACCAACATATCCTATGTCTTCTGTCTTGTACATAGTATTATTGCATACTTATAATTCATCTTTGACCATAATTACAAAATAAAAAAATATTAGGAGTTTAAGTTTTATGCACCGTAAATATATAGATTTTTTAGTGTGACCTATAATATAACATGGTATTGAATTTATTGATCATCATATATAGCAAGCTAGATACACAATTGGAAAAATGTTGTACAATATATATATATATATATATATATATATATATATATATATATATATATTTATATTTATGTTGCATCGTTCAAATTCAAAAGCTATGTATTTGTTGCTACTGCTACTTAAAATCGATTCTCTTTCATGACTATCTTTCTTATTCTCTTTCCATCGCTAGTTAGAAATAGACTAGAGCCGAAACAGGTCGTACGTAGAGAGGTATTCAACAAGCGTTACTCAACTGCACTAGTTAAGCCCTCCATAAAAGTTCAAGAAAGTAAAGCTACATATTACTAGAAAGATATGGACTTTCTCCTTTCTATTTCTTGCGGGCTATTGATTTCAGATTGAGACTTTGCTTGCTTATACTTTCCCGCTTCCTTCAGTGAGCTTAAGGTTTAAAAACTATTTGGTATCTTTAATTTTTTGAAACAAATATTATAAGCCACAATAATCAATAATTCAAAAATATTTTCAAAGCATATATATAAAAAAAAATTGCATTTAAAATAAAATCGTTTGACTCTCAAAATTTGAAAAATGTCACATAAACTAATACATAAATAACCTCTAAATTACATTATTAATAATATAAGAATTATCTAAACTATTAGTTTATCCAACTTCTATCCAATATACTAGTAATGGGTATATATTCCACCTGTTGTTATTATAATTAGAGCTAATAAAACAACATGTGGTCTTATGGTCCTACACCCTACATAAACCCTTCTTCCCCTCTTGCCCATTAATTTTTTTAAGAAAAAAAAATATATCATGGTTGAGCTCTTCCCTTCATAAATACTACACAATATCCATCTATTATCACACAACTCTCACTTAAATTTTTTAGCATCTCTTTTCTCTCAAAGGAAAGAAGTGTTATTATATCAATTGTCAAACCTCTCAACCTTTTTTTCATTTTCAACAAAATAAAATAAAATGGCCATTAGAAAATCAAACAAATTGTCACAATCTGCAATGTTGAAGCAAATCTTGAAAAGATGTTCAAGTTTAGGAAAGAAGAATAATAGCTACGACGATGACGAAAATAGCCTTCCAATTGACGTACCTAAAGGTCATTTTGCAGTTTACGTGGGAGAAAATCGAACACGATACATCGTACCTATTTCTTTTTTGAGTTATCCAGAATTTCAATGTCTACTCCATCGTGCTGAAGAAGAATTTGGATTTGATCATGATATGGGCATTACTATTCCATGTGAAGAAGTCGTTTTCCAATCATTAACATCGTCCATGTTGGGTAATTAGTGTAGTATTAGGTGTTAATTAATTAATTAATTAATTATGGTTTTTAGTGAAGAAAGATGGGCTTAAGATGAAGCAATTAATTAATATGGTACTATTAGTGGTACTATATTTTATTTGCTTCTCTTTTTTCAACTGTTTTTCTTCACTCTTTTGTTATTGGAGTGTTATTATTTTTTTTTCTTGTGGTTTAATTAGTTGACATTTTCTAACGTTGACCCAAGAAGCAAATGAAATTGTTTGCTTTTTATTGGGTTAGATTTGTAAAAATGAAAAGCTTTGTAATTTTTCCTTGCAGAGGTGTAATAATCATCCTGTGAGAGAAGTTAATGTAATGATTCTCCTTTCATTCATTTATTTTAAGGTTAATTATTTATGATTTTAATTAACTTATGTGAAGTGGCGTGATATACTCTTTTACTTGTTACGATATGTTATTTCTATCTTTATACTTCACGAAGTTTTATTTAAGTGCACCTGAAACAAACTATTTTAAATATTCCTCACCTCGGTTCCCTTAATATAAGATGTTCCGATCCACATCAATACATTAGTTAGTTGTATATGCATTACGTGAGTCAAAATTTGTTATTTTCGCATATGTGTAAGTTAATTTTATATATAGAGCAACTTTCATATATAGCAAACATAAAAATTATATTTGTATGTCATAGCTATAGTTTGCACAATTGCAACAAATTTTATGTTTGCTATGGAGCTTTTGATTTGTATAATTCGCTAGATACATCCAATTTTATACAAATTGTTCAGTTTTGTATAAATTCATTTATACATTGAAATTTGTATAATAAGATCTGTATTTTATATAATTATAAGTGTATAGGACGAAAATATATGTATTTATATTTGTATATACACTTTTCTCTCGTTTTATACAAACACAAACACATTTTATACATTTGTATACCAAATGAGTAATTATATACTGAAAATGACTAATTGTATAACGAACCAGATGACAAAAAAATGGAATGTTTGCTGCGAATTACAAATAAAATAAACTATGGCTATAACATTTAATTTAAATTAATAATTTGCTATTTCATATGAATTTCCCTTAATAATATAGACTATAATTTCTTATAAACTATACTTTAACTTTCTAAAGTTTTAATTTCCAAAGAAAAAGTAAAATTAGGATAAAGTACGTAGTTGAATTACATGGAGGAGAAATGAGTGTACTGAGAAGTATGCATGTGCGCCACGACTTTGTAATTTTGACTCGCCCGGTGCATAATCTGTCCATTTATGTAACATAGGGGTGTGCAAAAATTGAACCAACCGATAAATCGAACCGAAAAAAGTGTTATTGGTTTATTGCTATTGGGTTATTGGGTTAACGGTTTCCTAATGGTTTTATAAAAAAAATTATCTGGTTATCGGTTCGATATTGGTTTTCAATATTGGGTTATTGGGTAAATCGATAACCCATTAAGAGTTAAGACTATAGTAATTTAATACTTTTACATATACAACATACATATTAATAAATATTAATCTCAATATCTTTATAGTTATGTCTTAGTCATTTAGCCATCAATTCATACTTCGCTGTAACTTTGAGTTCACAATTTTACATTATATAAATCGTCAAAACCTAAAGTAAGAATCATATTCCTCTTTATTTCTCTTTGTGTTACACATGTATAGTTCTTTTAATGTTTGTTATTATTATTTCTATTTTATGAGCTTTTGTAAAGTTAAATTATTGTCTTGTCGTGTCAAATTTATTAGAGAAGTCATATATTTGTTTTATAAGCATATTCTTATTGGTTAAACCGAAAACCGAACCGTTAAGGACCAAAACCGATAAACCAAAAACCGATAAAAAATTATCTTATTGGTTCGTTATTGGTTTAGCGTATTTAAAAACCGAAAACCAATAAACCGAACCGATAATTCATAAAACCAAACCGAACCGACCGATGAACACCCCTAATGTAACATATCTTTTCTTTTAGTCCGTATAGAGAAAATTAATATTTATTTATTTATTTATTAATAATTTAAATTTAAAAATACATACTTTATTTTTAATGAGATAATTTCTATTTTTTTAAATATTTATGACTTGTCTTAAATCATAAATTAAAAAAATCTTTTTATCTTTTTAAATTTTATGTCAAGTTAAACAATATCATATAATTTAGACGAGAGATACATTCAATCTTCCCATCGTATTAAATAATCTATGAATTTACTTGTACTTTTTTTTTAAACTTACAATTGAATTAATTAAGCTATCCATTCCTCGATCAATATGAGACTTTAACCCAGTCTAACACTCCACTCAGATAATTCCACTGTATATCAACTATTTAGCCTTGTTGTTAATTATCGATCTTGATAAATTTCTGCAAAACAAAATGTGCACACACGTTCAAGTGTCGAATGTTGTAATTTTTCCTCATTAAAATGGTTAAAGAAAATAGAGGAAAAGGGAGAAGTAGGACATGAATGTGATGTTATAGGACAGGCGCCGACGCAGAGTTTAATTAGTTATACATTCATTCAAATCCACTAACTTTAATTTGGCTTCAACCATATGTGATGTTATAAAAGCATTTTTCAATTTTGTCATGTTTGGTTGGTTTAAATATTTTTCAAATTAATTTATTTTCCTCAAATTTAAGAAAAATGAGTAAGAAAAACAATCACTAAAATTCTTTTTTAATTTCACACCTGAACTTTTCACCCTAACTCGTGTCTCAAGTATCGATTCCTGATACAAATTAGGGATCCGACTTCTAATTCTCAATTTGGGACCTCACTACCGAGTCCCCACCTTGATTTGAGACTGAACTCCCAAATTCTGTGTCGGGTCGGATCAGGGCAGATCTTGATTTGGGTGTCGGGTCCTAAGTAAGGATTCTAGATCGGATCTTGAGTTTGGTGTTGATGTTAGGTCCTGAGTCAAGTGTCGGGGTGGAGTTCTAAATCGGATTGGAGTCAAATTTTAAATCGAGAGTCGAAGTCGGGTCCCAGGTCACGTGTCAGGTTCGAGTTCCTAATCGGTTGTTGAGGTCGAAGGTCGAGGTCAAATCCCGATTTGAAAGTAGTTGGGGTCAAATACCAATTCATGTGTTGGGAGTCGTGGTCAGATCTAAATTTGGAAGTCAGGTTCTGCATCGGGTGTGGGGGTCATATCCCCATTCAAAAGTCGATTTTCTATTTGGGTTTCTGGCCTCGATTAGGGTTCCAGATCTTGGATTGGGGTCGGATCCTAGGTCAGATGTAAGAATTAGGTCTCAACTAGTCGTCGGAGTCAGGTGTCGTTGTCGTGGTCAAGATCAGGTCAAGTTTGAATATCGAGTGTTGGATCAGGAGTTTGGGTTCATATCTTGGGTCGAGTCTCGAGGTTGATTTCAAATTGATTGTTAGGGTCATGTCAAGATTTGGATGTCGAGATCATGTCCTAGTTTAAATGTTGGGGTCAGATCTTGGATCAAATTTAGGAGTTGGATCTAAAATCAATCATTGGGATCATGTTTCAATTCGGGTGTCGAGATCTTGATCGGGTCCCAGTTTGAATGTCAGGTCCCGAATTGGAATTCAAGGTCAAGTCCCGAATCGAGTTTGGGATCGGATCTTGCATCAGTCATCACTTACCGTCTCATTTTGAGTGTTGGGGTCAAGTCCCGGATCAATGACCTGGATTGGAATTCAGGTCTAAAATTATTTTTCTTAAAAGTATTTTATATTCTCTAGACAAAAATAAAAGCTATTTTGGTGAAAAGTATTTTTCATTCACCAACCAAATATTAGAAAATACTTTTTTCCACGCACCAACTAAACATGATAAAGTAAGTTAGAAACCAACTTGTTTTCTAAGAAAATATTTTCTAGGGAAACATTTTTCTTGATAATCATGTAGCCGTCATAAAAAAAATAATACAAAATTAATTTTTTTTTGTACATTTTATGTTATAAACAAAAATAAAATAATTGTTAAATTTAAAATCTTAATTGACTTTTATACTAAATGAATTAAAAAATTGAAAAGACTAACACATTAGTCATTACTAATAAATTCATAACTAATTGTACCATACCGATTAAGAATTAACATCTAAAGAACATATGCATTTAAATTAATTAAAATATAAATATATCAAATTTGACGTATAATGGTAGGTTATTTCGTAAATGCTAGTTTCTTAGTGACGATATATCCTTGTATTGACGAAGATTTTTATCCAAGCTTTCAGCCATAAGAATGTATTTTTTAATCAATTTAACAAAATAATAGCGGCTTACAATCTACTTGGTTTATTATCATTAGTTGATTATCATAAATATTTAAATATTTTATTCTATACATAATATATTTCTTACAAAATTTTATCACATAACATGATATGGCTGTTATAGATAAGCAATTTTACAAAGAATATACTACTATAATAAATGTCACTACCGTTTTAGATAGAATGTTGTGTTTTTATCATTACTCACTGTCTCAATTTTTTGATTATTCTACAAAATATCAATATTTGTTTTTGAGCAAGATGCAATCTTTCATCATTGGATTTGTCACCTTGTTTCAAAGTGATTTCAGATGTTTTTTTTGTGAAATCTTAGCGATTAAACTGATAATCGAACCGATAACCAATAAACGATAAATTGATATCTCAATGATTCCCTAATGATTTAGCATGTCTACAAATCGATAAACGATAAATTGAACCGATAAACTTCAAAACCAATAGAACTGATTGATACACAACCTATAAGCAACACCATTTGCAAAACAGTAGTTATCGATTTGGACTCTGAGACCCCATTCCAACTCCTATAACTCCATCTATTAGGGCCGATTTTTTAACTGTACAACTTAACAACTGTATTTACATCAACATAGTAATACTTTTTTTTTTCCAATTATATAGCAATACTTTTTTTTCAAAAGTAGAATTTAAATTTAAAAAAAAAAATTCCAAATCAGTCATGCTTATCCCGATTCCCATAAATTTCTCCAATAATTTATCTTCCCTAATTTATTCAAATAT